AAAATGTGGTTGCCTATTTTTAAAGTGCTGAACTGGGGTTTAAAACAAGCTGCCCAGAGACCAAGTCATAACTGTGGGGACTCTATGGTCCTCTTATGTGCAAGTACATAAGAGGAAAATTGTAGGGTAGAGTAAAGTAGTGGTGAAAGGCCCTTTAGGCAACCAGATAAGAAATAGGTTAAAAGCTGCACAACTAAAAGCCTGGTACAGGTTGAGAAAAAGGCGAATTCACAGGGAGGTGGGGAGAGCATAGCACAAAGTAGACCTAAATAGACCTGTGAATTTAGGGGGGGAATCGCACCTTGACCTCCTTCCTTTCTGCCTATCCATTATAAGAATTCAATAAATATTGTGTTGTTACTGAATCACATTTGGGTTATTCAAGATTTACATGAAGAAAGTAAAACTATTGAACTCCGAAAAGATACTGAAATGAATATTTCTGTAATTTGGGGTAGAGACAAGCTGTCTTAGCAGAGTATCATAACTAGAAGCCATTACAATCTATATGAGTGAAACTTGACTATAATACTATAAAACTTGTGCTTGGCTGAGCATACAAAGTCTCATTCTTAACCCCAAGACCCCATCCTCAAAAGAACTCTTAATTCTAAAGCCTTAAATAAACATGCCTGAAAATACACATAAGGAAATTAATTAAAAATTGTGATCCTACCATTATTTAAATATTGCTAAAATAGCTGCAGCACCAGGATGAGCCTCCCCAGGCTGGATTAGTCCAGTATACAAAGATCATGTTTCTGTAGAGGTGAAACCTGCCAGCAGCTTAATCCCTCACAAAACCCCTGTCCACATGCAGCCATTAGCCAAAGTAAACAGGCAAGGAGAAGGAGCAGCAGAATTGTCAGTAAATTCTGCAGAGTTGGGACTCAAGCCACTGGTTTCAGTAATTCTCAGAAACAACAGCCGAATTCCAACACTTTGGGCTCTGTGATTTTACAGTTGGACCAATGCAAAGTTTGTAGGAATTTTAAAAATATATTACTGATGTACCATACAGAGATACCTGTGTATGTCATTGATTTTTTTAATTATATAAAAATATGTCACAGTAACAAATACTTGGAAGTAGTTCTAATATGGTTAGCTTTTAGAGCATTTGGTCTGAGTGAAATACCATCAAGGAATGTAAGGTTCAAAATCTGCATGGAGATCAAGGTGAATGGAAAGCTTTAAGTAGCTTCTAAGCACTTGTGACACCCTGAGCAAATGTGACTTGTTCTATCTAGCTGAGTAACTGCAGCATGTGGATGTGGCCAACTTTAAGTAGCTACCATGGGGTTTCATTTTGTCCAGACTCTACAACATCCGAATTGCAAATTGGCCTTTCCTTGACCCGCTGAGCATGATGCTGGGCCCAGTGGACCCATCCCTTACTTTTCTACTATAAATTTGTACTTTAGTGTAATAGTAGCTAGCCAGCTGTGCATCTCAGTGCCTTTCCCTGAGGGATACCAGAAGCATGCTATGTATTTATCCACTTAGTATGACAAACAGCAAGATATGTGCACGTGTGCAAAAGTGGCAATATGGGATTTTTTTTCCCACGTTATGCTCTGTCTCACTGGTTTTGCCTGTGTTTACCCAAGGATCACAGAGGGTCCAGGAGACACATACCACTCCAAGATTTGTTAAAATGAAAGTTTTCTTTTGATTTTTTTTTCTGGTAGAAGTAGCCCAATTCAGTACAATGGCACATGAAAAACCAGATTTGCAAGTTTTGGAGGAGGTCAAAAGTGAATCATGAGATCACTTATCCATGGATAATGAAGATTATCTGATATGGTAAAATAAAGGTTTTCATAATAGAAGAGTGGTGTGGGCAGATGATGATGATGATGACGACGACGACGACGATGATGACGACGACGACGACAATGATGATGACTTTGACATTGGCCATGTGAGCTAAAGTTCCTGTGATAGTGAAATGGAGCAAGAATTCACTGATACAGACACAGGGAGCACAGACCTCCTTGATTCAGATGATGGAGAAAACTGCAATGTGAATAGATATTTGACTAGTCAAAATGTTGCAAAATGGCCACCCAACCAAATGGAATGATCCAATGTTAGAACTAGGTTTGAAAATATAGTGAGAGTTGGCAGAGGTAAAATGGATTGGACTGAGTGCCAGCACTGCCATTCAGTGTTAGAAATTGTAACAGATGAGATGCTACAAGATGCTATAAAATACACAAAGGCTGAAATGCAAGTAAAACTTTGTACCAATAACCATATTAAAAATGTATTTATTATGACACCGCACTAGCCGAACTACTCTACTTAGCAGTGATTTCTCATGGTAATTGCAAGGAACGTAGAAAACTTATGGAAGAGTGATGGGTCAAAGTATGGCATAAAAATTTATGCCCCTGTAGATATTAGACACTGATCCTGGAACTCAGCTATCAGGTCCTTATTCATATAGTGATAAACCAAATGATGTTGTTCATGGACTTGTTGCTCCCATCTCCCAAACTAATTGGAATGTGACATTTGACAATTGGTTTAACAGTGTCCAATTGATGTTACATTTGCTAACAGCGCATAAGTTGACCAGCATCTGAACTGGACACAGGAACAAAGCAGAAATTCCAAATGAAATGTTGCAATTTCAAAACAGAGAATTGTATAGTATAATCTTTGGAGTTCAAAAAGATTTACATTGGCCTCATATATAGCAAAGAACAAACTGGTACTGCTGAAGTCAGCATTGTACCATGATGGAAATATTGATAGGGAAACCTCAACAAAATGGAAGCCTGAGATGGTAACTTTCTACAACAAAAACAAAGGTGGAACAGATGTTGTTGATCAGTCATGCAGCAACTATGATGTCACTTGAAACACAAAGCACTGGCCAAAGGTTGTGTTTTACTTGATCCTAAATATGTGTGGCATAAGTAGTGTGATAGTTTACAAAGAAAATAGCAAGTGTAAAATATCACGGAGAAATTTTCTTAGAGAATTGGGACTGGAACTTATAAGAGATCATTTGCAGCAGAGGAAAAACAAAATGTTCCTGTCCAGAGAACTATGCAAAAAAAATCGTGCAGCACACTGGTGAGCTGACAGGTGAACAGGCAGGTGCAGCATCACAAAGAAGTACTATGACAACAGGAAGACCAAAAAGATGTCAATTGTACCCTACAAGATAGGACAGGAAAACAAGACATACGTGCTATCAGTGTAAGCAATACATGTGTATGCAGCATGCAGTTTTCCTGTGTGAAGACTGCCTTAGGTGTGATAATTGAAGCAAAGATTATTCCTGTGGTAGACTTCTGTTTGTGTTTACATTGTAGCTCACATAGGTTTTTATTTCTGATGTTATCGTTTAGGTTTTGTAAGCAAGTAAACAGCTGATGTGAAAATGTTGATGTCTATTCTAAATGTGCAATACATATTAAGAATTTAATACTTTATTGATATTTTATGTTCCTATTAACTACATACTGTATAATATAATAAACTCCTAACCAAACAGCAAGACCAGTGAGATGTCAAGTATGTCCTACAAAAGGGCCAGGAAAGCAAACCATGTGCTGTCAGTGTAAGCTATATGTGTGTAGGAACGTGCTGCTGTCATGTGTGCAGACTGCCTTAGGTGTGATAATTGAAGTAAAGATTATTTTCTTATAAAGTGCTATTGGTATTTTCATTATAGTTCATATAAAAATTTATTTGTGATTTTTTTTTTAGATTTTGTACACCAAAAAGCAATTGTCAATGATGAAATCTTTAATGCTTTTTTATAAACACTCAATAAATATTAAAAATTCAATACTTTATTTTTGTGATTTTTTTTCCTGTTAAGTACTCACTGTTTAATATAATAAAACTCATAAAATTGAAAATAATACTTCAATAGAAATATTCTGAAGAATAGATGTGGGTCTGATAGACCCACGTTTATGTGCCTTTATGACAAAATTCGTGTTACACTCCGGCCTGTGCAGTCACCTCAGGTGATAGAATATTTCTGTATGGATGGGAGCTTGTGTCCCCTAATCATCTTGCTGCTTTCCCCTTGGATTTGAATGGGGTGATCTCTGAAAACCCAGTGCAATTGATACTGTCCACTATGTATCAGCCCAGTGACCAGTAAGTAGGGTTAGTTTCTTTGAATCTGGTGTCATATCCTTATTAAAGCCCCCTATGTAGAGATCCTAGAACTCCTCACCAAGAGGCTGCTCCTCACAGTGTTGTGAAGCATCAGGACTGTGACCTACATAGCTCAGGCCCACTTGCTTCAAACAGTCTAATAGCAGAGGCAATGTGCTAGGGATATTTGAGCGGGGGAAGTAAAAATCCTAGAATTCTCTGCCTCCATCTTTCCTTTGCTTGAGATGAGGTCACACAGCTGTTTCCATTGAATGGGATAAAAGAAGCAAAGAATAGCTATGGGCCCATTATTTTATATTGGCAAATCATATTAGAACACTGTAAGAAGCTGTTTCGGTTGCTTGAGTACTCGCTGTTGGAGAAAATGCCTTGGACATGGCGTACAGAGATCTGTCATTGAGTATTCGTAGTTGGTGTTGGGGAAGGGAAGGGCACTCACACAGTGGCATAGCCCCGGGCACTTCACCTTCTGCTGTGTGTGCAGAGTGCCCTGTGCCCTCCTTGGGGATCTGTGCAATGCAGCATGGAACTGTAAACTGGGCTGACTAGGAAGAGTTTGTGTTTACCAGATCCCGGGTAAGGGCCAGGCCTGTGGAATCCAAAAGAGCAGCCGGACCGTGACCTCACTGGTGCCGAAAATCATGAATTCAACTTAGGTTTCTTTCAGCAGCCTCCCAGGGTAGCTGAAGAAAAAATGTTTCCCATTCTGCCTGTTAGGTGTCCTCAGCCCAGCATGAAATTCTCAAAAGCAATGTCATCCTTTGCATGGTGCCTCATCTAGACATTTCACCATGATTTCCCTCCACCCCTGCCCCTTCCCGACCGCCCCTTCCCTGCCCCTCTCGCCGCAGGTGTGGAAGGCATTGTGGCCATAATGATTCCTGAGCCCAAAGGGAAGGAGATTGTAAGCCTGCTGGAGAGGAACATCACCGTGACGATGTACATCACCATCGGAACCCGGAACTTGCAGAAATATGTGAGCCGCACTTCGGTTGTGTTTGTCTCCATCTCCTTCATTGTCCTGATGATCATTTCCCTCGCGTGGCTGGTCTTTTATTATATCCAGAGGTTTCGGTATGCAAATGCCAGGGACAGGAACCAGGTGAGTACCAAAAAGTTAAAAAAAAAACTTTTTAAAATTATTGTAAAACCAATACACATTACTGGATAAACTTTGAAAACCACAGAAAAGTACCAAGACAAATACAAAATTACCTGTTATCCCTCTACTCAGCAGAAACATCGTTAACATTTCCTGCACAGTTTCAGATATTTCCCGAATACACATATTTTCACTTATTAGTATTGTAATAAAATGCTCATGATTTGCCTACATTCCTATTGCTCTTTTGTGGATAATTATTTAATTAGGCACAGAATAAAGGGAGACAGAGGAAGTGAGTTGAGATTATGCTAAAAGTGTTACATGTTTATGTGTACAGATATTTTTTAAATAAGATGATACCACACTTAACTATCCATCTTTTTTACTTTATCTGAGAGATTATCTGGGAGTCTGATTTCTATCAACCCACCAACCAGTCTCATTTCTAATGACCACATGGTATTTCATTATCTGCATATTGTCACATTTATTTAACTACTTCTATTATGGCCATGCTTTCTCTCACAAAGCAAAATGTACACATGATAGATACTTAGCACATTTGTGAATGTATCTGTAAAGTAAATCCTACCAAATTTAATTTGCTAGGAGAATGGTATATGTGTCTTAAACTATAATAATTCCTGGCAAATTATCTGCCAAAAACTGTTGGACCAATTTATATGTTAGCCAATGGTATATAAGAAATAGATACCGCTTCTTCTTGAGTGTGATTTGATAAATTAAAAATGGTATCATTTTTTGGAGCTAAGAGTATATATAGCTCAATGGTAAAGCACTTGTCATACATGAGACCCTAAGTTTAATCCTCAGCATTAAAAAAAAAGGAAACCCATTACATTCTTTGTATTGTAAGTAACATTAAACATTTTCAAGTATAATAGAAAAATTGAAGATTGTTTGTATAATATCTGCTTGTATTATTTGATCAGTTTTTAGCTGTATTCTTGGTCATTTTCTTATTAATGTACAGAAGGCCTTTATTAGCAAGGAAATTAGTCATCTTTGTGATACATGATTCAGTTTTCTCTCCCTGCTTCTCATTATCTTTGATTTTATTTATGTTGCTTTTTGCCACACAGACATTTTTGGTTTTTACATAACTAAGTTTATCAGTCTTTTCTTTATAGCTCCCAAGTATTGCATAAGATCATCTACAGGCCCAGACTACTGAAAAACTCTCGTGGTGTTTTCATCTACCACATTTTAATTTCATTTTTATGAAGAACTTTTAGAGCATTTATTTTAGCATAAAGAGTAAAGTATAGAACTAACACTTCTTTTTTCAGACGGCCTGCCATTTTTGAAACTGGTGTTCACTGAATAATTGATCTTTTCTCCTCTCATATGTAGTATCCTCATTTAGCATATATTAAATACCCATTCTATTTCTATGCTCTCTGAGCTGTACCATTAATCTGTGCCTTCATAATCCAGTACCAGATAGTTCTGAGCTTTGCATGCTATCTGTATTTTTCATGTTTTATCTTCATATGAGTTTAGAATCACTATTTATATAGTTTCAAATTTATAGAATAATTAAAATGTATAACTTTATGTTGAGTCTTCCTATCCAAGTACAATTTACTCTACTCTTTCTTGTATCCAGAAGCATTTTAAAATATTCTTGCTAATCTTGCACATTCATGTTTATTTTTAGGTATTTATTATGTTGCTTTTATAAGTTTTCTTTTGCATATCTAAAGGTTTAAATTTTTGTATATTTTTTCATTATTAATAGCTTCATTATTATCACCTTAATAATAATGCATAGTATTTATAATATACAGGGGTACTAAGGAGCTCTATATAAATTTACATATCTAATCCTCTTAATAACCCTATAATAGGAAATTTTATTATCCTTATACAGATGAGGAAACTGACCACAGGAGGTCACACATCTAGGCACTAATAAAACCATCAACTGAACCCCAGTCCATGTTCTTGACTACTGCATTGCAATATCTGTGATTTGTTTGTTTGGTTGTTGTTTGTTTTATTTTGTTTTGTTTTCTGAACTGCGGATTGAACTTGGGACCTTGTGCTTGCAAGGCAGGCGGGAGTATCTGTGATTATATATATTAAATTATCAGGATTGCATTAATAATATGCACAGTTCATAATAATTTAGTTATTTCAGATTTGAACATATTATCTTTCAGAATGTATTAGCTTTCCTAAGAGACCCAAAAAAAATCTAAAATAATATATTGAAAATATTTCTTTTCATATAGTATTTGTGGGAACATCCTCCATGTAGTGAGACTATTTCTAGCATTTTTCATTTTACTATTTTCTAGTGTAGTCTTCTGGGTTAAGATACATATGTATCATGTTCTAAAAATATAATGTCAGAAACGTCAACTTATTAGTGAGAGCTTTTTTTTTTTTTTTTTTTTTTTGGTACCGGGGATCGAACTTGGGTCCTTGTGCTTGCACAGCAGGCGGTGAAACCACTGAGTTAAATCCCTGGCCCAGTGAAAGCTTTTAATTAAAACTAGATGTTTAATCCAAACAAATTCTTGTTGAATAGCTGTGTGCTTTCTGTTTTGAGCTATTAAAAAGAATGGACTCTATTTTTGAGTTTCCCAATATTGACCCATCCTAAATTCCAAATACATTCTAGTCCTTTAACTTGTCTTGCATTATATTTGTTACTCTTTGTTCTACTACTCATTATTTACCTTAGCATTTGAACGTTCAGTGTGCCCACAGTTTACACTTCCGTCATGTTAGGAGGTGGTTATTCTGGCTTCATAAGAACTGTCAGACTTTTCTCCACTTTCTGTAGTCTAGGCAGTGATGCAGTCACGACCCATGTGTGGCTACTTAAATTTAATTCACTGTAATAAAGTAAATCTGAAAGCTCTGTTCCTGTCCACAGTCGCCACATGGCACGTGGCAGCCTGTGCCTATGCGGGGCGTTTCTGTCACCACAGAAGGTCTGGTCTGGCTGCATTGCTCTAAGACTCTTTACACTCCACGGAATTAACTGATTCTCAAGTGTTAATAGAAAGCTTCTGTGAGTTAGTAAGGTCTGAATTGTTGTTTGCTTGAGGAAGATAGTTCTTTTACTTTTTCTGTTTATTTTATAGCAATTAATTTGTTACATTTTCTGTAACTCCTGGAACAGTTTTTAAACACTATTAATGCTTTTTTTCTGATTCTCAAAATGGTACATACTCATTTTAATAAACTTCAGCAACCACACAAAAACCACTGAAAGGAAAAACAAGTTACTCATTACCACCACTGAATAGTTAACAATTGAGTATATTGTTTTTCATGTACTTTTAACTCCTTGCATTCATATTCAGTAAGGTGTTGTTTTATGTATATGTGCAAATGCACAAGACAAACACATACTCACGCATGCACAGGTATTATACTTTGTATTAAATGGTGAACATTTCCCCATCATTAATCTTCTGAAACATGAAGCTACCTAGGTGTCAAGTTCCACCACTTACCAAAATTGAGAATCATTTTTTGTTAGTTTTTAAAACTAGATAGTATTATACCTTTCTCTTATGCTTTGAATGTGGATTAAATGAGTTGATGTATGTCACTATTAAAGCCACAAAACATGACACTAATCACTTCAATTCCCGGTGAATGGTATTTTTATTATTACTATCATGTTAATTCCTTGATGACTGTATGCTATATAACTCAACTTTGCCACTTTCATTAAATATTCTGGAATGTAAATTACCACAATGCCAGTTAGACCTAAAGTGGTGAAAATGGATTTAGAAATATGTAATGGATTTGCTTCTGTGGAGTGACATATGAAAAGATAATTATTTTAAAAGATAGTCACTCAGTCAATCACATAATGCTAAATAGAAATGACATCATTATATTTTTGAGCTTATAGATAATTCAAATAGGCATTAGATAGTTGAGGCAAGGATAAAATGTCAAGTTTGAATAAGTTGAGTAATTATTTCAGTTATTTCACTTGGTGCAGGTATGTGTAGCCTGCATGTCTGACTAGGCACATGTATATTCCATGTTATACATGAAAAACAAATTGGAAAGTGATGGTATGGAATTGATGTGGTACCATTCATGGAATTTAAGTTTTTACTCTGCTTTCATTTTAACTTTCCATGAGTTACAGGGTCACTCAGTAAATTGGGATCATGGTAAAAGCTAACGCTGTTTCCTCATCAAAATGGTCTTTATACTTTACACTTTTGGTGGATGCAATGAGAACATATAATTTCCTTAAAAAAAAATACTTCTCTTTTGATGGTCAGTGTGTTGCTCTATTTGACAGAAAGTTACAGCTGTGCAAGCTGTAGCTATAATAAGCATCAGGTTAACCTAAATCATTTTTTATTAAAGCATTATTGACCTTCAAAGTGACTCTCAAGTTCTATATAGGATCACAGCCTGAAACAGAATATAAAAGGCATTGATTTACATTGGTGAAGTATCCAACATTCAGGTATGTGAAAAGAGACTGCACTTGAATTACCCAGATGAGCACCTCTGTGTCTGCATGGCTTTGTGTGGATACAAGTAAAGGACAGCCCTCAGCATTGTGTATGGTCCTAACTCTTTTCATGCCACTCTGTACTTGGAGAGGATCATTTCAGTGCAGTGTCCATGAAGTAAGATTTGCTAGATGCTCACAGCACAAATAAGGGCTACAGCTAAAAGCGGAGAGGCTCTCTGGCTGCAGTGCTGTGTTTCTTAAAGCAGCTGCACCAAGCTAAATCCACTGCAGATAGCAGCTTTAGAGTCAGGTGGGGCTGGATTCAAATCATCGCCCTGATGATTCCTAGAGGTGTGACCTGTGTGAGCCGCTACAGCTTGCTATGCACTTTATCCTCACCTATAAAGCGAGAATGGGAACACACCAGCCCCACAGGCATGAGGTGAGGATCAAATGGGAAAATGTATGACATTAGTAGAGGGTTGTCTTTAATGGACAAAGCAATTCTTTTTTTTTTTTTTTCCGG